ATGGGGCATGGCTTGGCCCCAGTGTGGGGGGCATTGGGGTGGCTGTTGCAGGGTCAGGGTGGTCTCACCTTGTCTCTCCAGAGTTGCCCTCCCATACTTCTCCAGGGCACGGAAATTGCTGTGGCATATCCAGGTRGAGAGAAGGTACTCTAGGAGCACTGTGACGGATTTCTGCCTGTTCAGGCTCTTGCTGACCACCTCTGCCACCTGGGATGGCTGCTGGATCTCCCAGCGCTGTTTATCTACCTCAAAAACTATGAGGTCTCTGCCATCCCAGCTGACATTCAGGAAACCCCAGCTTGTCGTATTGGGGTACAGCACACAGCCTGCACGGAACTGGACCACCAATGGGTCTATCAAGGGCAAAAACAGTGGAAAGGTTCCATAAATGTGTGGAGCTTGGGTGGCATGAGGCAGGATATGGCTGAGGGCACATACAGGGATGCAGTGGAGAGCAGGGTGCAATAGGCATCAGGGTGTTAAGTCATGCTTCAGGAGACCCCGGACAACCTGCAAGTTCTCAGGCCTCTTGGACAAAGAGTGGACACCGGGGTGGGGTGCTTGCTTAAAAAGAATTCTGTGCCCCAAAATATTTGCCCCCAATTTTCTCTTCCATGATAGTTGCTTTGTCAATTCCGTAGCTCCAGTGAATTTGGTGGCAGGTCCCTGACATGCAGAGGGGTTCCCTGTGCCAGAAGGCAGAAGCCCCAAGGGGTATTTTCGGTCTGCTGCCCTACCCCCTCCTGCTACCCATATGTCCCAGCCGCTGCAGTGATTCAGGAGCTGTTGCACCTTGTGAGACCCCCACAAATGCCATCCTGGTGTGGAAGAGGCCACAGCCAGAATCTGGGGAGAAGGACTAGGGCTCTGGAACGGCTCATTCCAATACTCACAGTGCTCTTTTGTCTGCTGAACTATGTCGTGCACAAATCGGATCATATTGCGCAGAGCAATTTTGTACTGGGAAAATATCTTTTCCCCATCACCCTCAGCTGCAGCCTGACTGGCCCAGGGCCAGTGGAAGTGGATGCTCCAGTTGGCAGGATCCAGTGTAAAGATGGGTATGTCCCCTACGAGTCCCAAGCATGACACCTCAGCAGAGCTGATGTTGGCAAAGAGGCCAGTCAGGAGGTACTGGATAACCTGTGGCTCTGCTAGGAGAGATGATGGAGATGGGAAAGGGTGCAGTAAGGAGATGAGCAGAGGTGCTAAAGGAGAAATAGGGGAAGTGGAGGTGCTGGAGGGGGAACAGGGGATTCAAACTAGATAATGAAAAATAATTTTTTTACTGTGAGGGTAATAGTGAGATGCTGGCACGTTACCCAGGCATATGGTGGATGCCCCATCCCTGGAAACATTGCAGGCGAGGTTTTCAGGGCTTTGAGCAGGGAAGGTGYCCCTGCCCATGGCAGCATGTTYGGATTGAATGGCCTCTAAAGCTCAYTTTCATCCCCTTTCACTCACAAATCATTCTRTGGTTCTATAATTCTATACTCTTCACCCTGCTCAGGGTTGCTTTCCTGTCTGAACTTCCTCTGACTTCACTGCTCTTTTTCCTTCTCTATTTTACTTTCAACGAAGTGTTTGTCTCCTGCAGAGAATTTTAGGCATTTTGTCCCTCCCCCCCACCGCCTCCCTCCTGGCCAATGCTGCTGTCTGACTGCAGAGCAGATGAAGGGGCACCTTGCTGCTCATTTGGGGTGATGTTTTGCCCCAGGAGAAGCACCTGTGCTGGGACCTGTATCTGCCAAAGACCTGCACATAGTGCAGAGGATATGGAGGATGGTTGATAGGAAAGGGCATTTTGTCCAGGTTTGGGGCTCCCTGATAGGGCCAGGACATCAGCCCAAACCAGAGATCAATACTGCCTTTCTGTGTCTGGTACTTGCCTGCCCCGGAAGCATGAGGTCTCATGGGGCTGTGGTAAAATGCTCTGTGTGACAGCAATGCCCAAAATACCCTCTTGCAGGTGCACCTCCCTAACGAATGAGKGGCTGCTGGAAGGGGCCCTCTGCATGATGTGGAGCTGAGACCCACCTGGCACCTATGGGCTCCCRGCAGGGGGAGGACATCTTGGGGGAAACCTTAACACCCAAGGCCTGGCTGGGGACCCCTGGTGTCTCTTCCTGTGTGCCCAAGGCCTTCTGTTGGAGCTGATGTGGCAGAAGTCCTGAGCCAGAGGCAGGAACAGAGACGGCGGACTGGAACAAACTATGGTTGGGTGCTGCATGATGGGAGGTGGTCCTCTGATGCTAGGGATCATTTCCCCCTCCCTCCCCCACCTCCTCTTCCCAGCACAGTGGCCTGGCCATGTCTCCCCTGAGGAACTTGTGGGGTCCTCTGACAGGGCAGGGGCGTGAGAATGGTGGAGGTGAGCCAGGGCTCCCACTTACCCTCTGGGTCTGCCCACATCCCAGGGAGGAGGATCGGGAGAAAGAGGAAGACGAGGAGGCGAGGGGGCTGCATGACGCATGCGGCAAGGCTGAAGAAGCAGCAGCAGTGACTGTGGGAGGAGGAACAACCCGTGGGATCCCAAGCTTCAACCCAGCCCAGCAGTCACTGCAGTGGCTCTCCACCTATCAGACCAGAATGACACTCCAGTGTCAGGGAGTGGCTCAGCGGTCCCAAGCTAAAGGCTGGAGATGTGTGGGAGGGACAAAAGCTGAAATAAGGTCATGAGCATGAAGTGCCATGACAGGCTAGAGCTGGGAAAAGCCAGCCAGAAGTAGAAGGCAGGGAAAGAAATTCCCAAGAAGTAGCACCAGAAAAAAAATTCAAGGATCTCAGATGGGTTCTCTTGACACCCCTCCCCACCAATATTACATTGTCCTATCCCTGTTCTTGTGGGRTGCCTCAGATCCAATGGATGTGACTATGGCTTTTGGATTTCAGACCTCATTGGAGAAAGAYGGTTGCTATCCTCTCAGTGCCCACACAGGGAGAAGGAATGCTTTGGGACCCCCCTCCCAACTCCTGGCAGCTCCAGCTCAGGCTGCGCCTGCATCACTTGCCTAACTGGGGATGGGTCTCCCAGGGAGGAAGTGACAAGCTGTTCCACCTAGTCCCAAGATGTAGGACACTGCTGGTGGGCCCCAGCTCTGCACTAAACACCTGGGGATGGGCCTGGAAACTACCCTTTTCTTCCCACCGGCTTTGGTGTGGAATCCAGTCCCCCTCCCAAAGAGCCCCCTGTGCGTGAAAAAAGAAATTATGGGAGTCATCCCCCTGATCAAAACCTCTCCAAGCCCATCCAACTCCTAAGGAAAGGCATATGATCTTAGTGAAAATAGGAATGGTTTATTTTCATTTTATACACATCTGCAGCTCCCACACATTACACTAGAGTTTCAGTGTTACTCAGCACTTTGTAAAAAACGTTTCTGGCCAGGTTCTGTTAGTCTGTGTGGAACAGTTCAGTCTCAGTACAAATATTTCTGGAATATGGCTAATAAAGGCAATTTTTAGGAAAAAAAATACTAGAAAGTGACTGTAGAAGAGTACAGCTTTCCACCTACTGACAAAAGTGTTGCTGTACTAGAACCAGGAGAATTTGCCATTGGGCCTTGAGGTGCCCTAGAGCATCATTAGGTGCACAGGCCAGTGCCACAAGCTGAGGTGATCAAGTGTAACAAGTGAGGAGGTCTCAGACTTGCATTTGTATGTTTAGAAAATTCAAGTGAATCAAAAGCTGCCCAGGTTTCACTTATGTATCTTTGAATCAAGTTAGTCTCTCAACTGGCAATGCTCAGAATTTAGGTGAAGCAGGAAAAGGTAGTTCTTGCTGCTGTGAAGGCAGTGGAAGGGAATGGGAACTGTTGGCTCCCTTCTGAGCTAACCTTCTTTGCTCAGGATGGAGTTCCTGGACTCTGATTCTGTTGCAGGCTCTGGGTGGTCTCACCTTGTCTCTTCAGAGATGCCCTCCTATAGT